ACAATTTGAAATTAATATTCTTTCTTAATGCAGTACAAAAGGATTATTAAAATAATCTGCCTCTGGATTTGACATAAGGCTGACCTAAAGAATTGGGCATTCTTCCTCTTGAAATTGTTTCTTGTGATCTATAATGTTACAAGCACGATTAATCACTATGAAGTTGCTTCATAAAGGTAGATTTCATTATTCCGAGCTTCCAGCAACTAGCAAGTTTTGGCAGAATTGGCATCTGCTGAGAGAGTCCTGTTTCATTATGAGCTACATCTACAGGAATCAAAGTGTTGCTGGAGAAGGGAGGGTCCAAGAACAACGTGAGCAACTGAATTGGTAGGAAAATGAAACTGAAATCTGTTTCCGTTTCGTTTCTTTGTCCAAAACTCTGGATGTCTGAAACTTCAAAGTGGCTTAAATTTTTTTTTTTGAAATTGTGAGCACAATTTTTTTTTTTTTTGAAAAAGTGAGTACACGCTTTTACACTTGAAATCTGAGTCTCACAGGTAAGTCATGCTTGTGGAATTGAGGGACTTACTCATGCATAACTATTTTATTGACTCTTTCAGTAGCTGTTTGAGCAAGTAAACAATGGCTTTGAAAATAAGCATAAATCAACAGAGAAATTGGATGTTGTTCAGAAGATGCAGACTGATCTGCCTGTTATTCAATTAGTCAAAATAGTATTTTTAAATCTCAGTTAGAGAAGCCTCATCAGAGATCTCAGTGGGCTTTTATTTGGTCTGAACAGGTACCACCTATTGAGCTGTTTAGGTACCACCTTAGTGGATGAAAACATCCTGTGTCGGCACATAATCTTTGAGTTTGTTTCGTCTATTGAATTCTGGGTTGTGGCTATCCTCTGTGAATTGGCAGAAGGATTTATTTGAGGCTCCTGATTCTTCTTTTCTTCAGATGGTATTACCTGAACATCATTACCTTGTTTGCCCCTTGCTTAGAGTGAATTCAGTACTAGTGGTACCTGTTCTCAGGAGAAGATTTTCAGCTGTGGAAAATGCTTTCTCATGCTCCTGTTCTGTTAGAGCCTGTTTGGCTGCCTTCAAGACCAATTTCAAGATACGCTTTAACTGGGTGCTGTTATGGCTGTAGTTGGGGTGTTTTATCTTGGCAGAGTGTTGATCTAGGTTAAGAGTATGATGAATCTTGTCTGTTAAGGGTAATTCTGTATTTTATGTCTAAACTTGTTGTGGTTCTCCAATGGTATAACAAGAACTAATGAACACCATAAATCTCCCTATTGTTTTTGCAAGACTGTAACGAGGGGGTCTTCTCTTCAGTTGAAATGACTGCAGTACTGGAAATAATAGTTGTGTTTTGCATTCTGTACTTAAGAGTATAATGTCTTTAATGCAGGGGTGTCCTCTTGCTGTGTGCTCACATGAAGCCTGGCACAACAGGTTCTTGCAATCTGTTGAGACTCAGGGCACTGCCTGAATGTAAGTAACAACATTCATGTGATTTCTGAAGATAAATGTGATTGTGTTTCTTTTCAGCTGCAGAAAACCCGGCTCAAGCAAGACCCAGTTTTGAAGCAGGTGGTAGTACCCAGATTCTCTGCTTAAACTGCTTTCTTCCATTGAATTCAAACGTACAAACAAGGTATCTTCTTAATAGAAAAAGGCATCTGTACTGTGTTCTCCAAGTGCTTCCTGTACGTGTGTGTGCTTGTTTTCTAAGTATGCCTAGCTTCCTTTGGGAGGCAGATTAGAATAAGAGGGGAGTTAACGTCTGGGTAGTGGATTTTGGCATGTTTGTATATGGAGTGTTAGGAAGCAAGATGAAAGGTGATTTAACATCTGGATGAAGTGAAACTTGTGGTAATCGTTCCTTTTCTTCTTCACTTGGCATTGTTTGAAAGTCGTCTTTAAGATAAGTGCTTTTGTTCATCTTTTGAAGATAGTTGTAGAGGCCACAATAGCAAAAGGAAAAGGCTGTAACTATACTTTCCCACACAGGCTGTGATTAATGCGTATGTTAAATACTGCCTCAACACTGAGTTATGATGATAATAAAATACAGAACTTCAACAAAACTGCAGCTGAGACAGAAACTTGCTCTTTTTGCTTGCAGTATGGATTTTGCTGGGTTACGTTATCCTGTGAGCAATAATCCTGACCTGACTGGAGGAGAAGGACAGATCAGAATTTGAACCGTTCTCTATTTCTTCAGCTTTTGTCACGCTGCCAGTCAGACAGTAAGTAGAGAAAGGTCTGACTGTTACAGTCAAGAGGGATGTAAGAAATGCTCTTTATCAAAGATTTGACTAGTCTGCTCTAAACACCAAGTAGTGTTCTACTCCCTCCTCCCTGCACTCAGCCAGAATAGATTATGAAGTGGGTGGACAAGTCAGTTTGGACGCAGGGGTTCAGTGCTTCGGGCCATATTGTAAAATGACCTTAAAATGACGACAGTTAGACATTTATCTTAGACCTGACATTTCCCTCCAGAGCAGTTCATCCGGTCTCTGAGCTTTCTGTCTGGCTGGACGAGCATTCTCAGAGCCCACAGTGTCCTTGTCACCAGAGGAAGTCCTGCAGTATGCAAAACACCTCAGCATTGCTTGGATGGTTGAGGCACACTGGCTTCCAGTCTCATCAGAAACTTTGGTATATGGTCAAGAAACACAAGCATTTCTTTGAAAGCTTAAAAAACCTCTAAAGGATTTGGCTGGGCTAAAGGCATTTTCTTGTCCTACCAACTGTTATATAAGTACCAGTTCATTATGACAAAGTGCATAATGAGAATGAAACTGTGATACCTTTAAAGAAAAAGCTGCGTTGATGGAAGTGAACTACACAGTGATGTGAAATAGCAGACCAGAAGGGTAATAAGAATCTAATATAGCAAACATTTCATGCCTGTCTAGTAGCAAATTTAGTCAAGACTATAGGTTGAAAATACCAGCTTTTCAGTAATTTGGTTTCTGTGTACCTGACTAGTGAACTTCCTGGTTTCAAGGAAGCAGTTCTCTGTAATTTAGGAGTTGAGTCAGACTAAAAGGAATCGAAATAATGTAGTGAGTTGTTAAACACCAAACTGTAAATATCATAGCCAACTGGTAGAGTGCAGGAGATGGTTGTGAAGACATTTGTCAGCTGTACTAAGATGCAGGTTTCATCTCTTGTCTTTTTGATAATTTTTAGTCTGTCACAAGCTCTGAAACCGTGTAATATTTGAAAAGGAATAGAATCTGTCTAGGTATGACTTGTTGATTTGGAGAACGTCAGGTCATTAAAATTACTTATTTGACACCTTCTAGAAATCAAGCACCTCCTTCAAGGCGACAGCTCTATCTCTAAGGAGCTTCATATGTGTCATTTCAATTCCAATTCTGAATAACTTCTAATGCAGGCTGAATTGAAGTCAGGGAGAGCTGGCACTTGCTGTCAGAGGCTAGCCTTCTCTTTGTTAAAATTCGAAACTGTATGTGTGTCAGTTTGAGTTAAAAAGCTGTTGCTTCAAAAGTTGGTGAAATGTATGATTTTATATTTCTTATTGTATTTAAGAACTTGCATATGTCATCCGTCGTGGTGATTTCTTAACACATTTTGCTTAAGACTTGAAAATGAGGATTTACTATTGTCTTGAGGCTTTGAGTGATACATTTTTAAATGTTTCAGTAAGTTGTTAAAGAGAAAGAGTTTTCAAAATAGCACTTGTCTGAAAATTTCAGACCTGTGAGTTCTAAGTGACACTCGTAATAGCTATTACTGACAGATATTGACAAGAAAAATACAATGAAGCAAACAAAAGGTATTTCATGTATTGGTAGATTGTTGTGTAACATTTTCTGCCTCCGAGCTTCCCCTGTGTTTTAAGAGTATTTCAGAAACAGTAAAAGGCAGAAAAACTGCTATTCACAAAGACTCTCTGTTAAAGGAGAATTACCAGAGAATTTTTTGTTGTTGTTTTTAGGGCTTGCTCTTCTTTCATTATCAGTATTCTCATAATTATGCTATTTCTAGGGATTTAGTGTTTTCTGTAGTACAGATCTCTAATTGTGAATTTACTTAGACATCCTCTTGACTGTAAAATGTCTTAGGAGTGCTTTGCTACTGCCTTAAAGATTGAGCCATGACTTTTAACTGTTAGGGCCCACTTGGCAGGATGGGACTGGTGGAGAAGTGCTCATGTGAGTATAGCGTGGAATCATTTAACTGTTTTGGACATAGGTTACCTGTATGAAGCAACCTCTGACAGAGAAAGTGTATGGCATTGTTTTTATTTAGGCCTTCCATAAGAATATACAGGTGTGTTTTCTTTTTCTGCCTTATTATCTTTCATCAGTGAATTGTTATCTCTGAGTAAGCCCTTGTAATATCTGCAGCTAGTAATGCAGGAAAAAAATATCTAAATCTGTAAACATTGCTTGTTTTGGAGCATAAGTTATCCACTGATCTGTGGTTTAGAAAGGCACATCATGGTTCTGAGAAATGTTTGTTTGTTTTTTCTGGACTTAGGCAGCATAAACTGACCTAGATCGCTCCTTTGACATGTTAACTCCTGTGGTTGCTTTGTTTCACTGGCTTGTTTGAAACTTCTCCACACTTTCCTCCTGTTTTGAAAACTCATTTTCTTAAGCTGACTTGAAAAAATCTACTTGTAAAATGGTAGAATAGCTCAAAGAATAGCTCCCTTGTGAGGGCTGTAAATCTTGTCTTGCATCAGGGCATGTGTTATGTTGTGGGTAGCTCATGGTGGTTGTTGGCAAGGTTATTCCTATGCTTTGTTTTACTGTGCTGTGAGAGGAGGATTCAGTATAGATGCATAGTTATTTTCTTCTGGTTTTACATTTATAAGGCCTCCCTAGGGCTGTTAATTAGCACCTAAATTGTCTTTTTAGGTTTCATCTCATATTTGGGGGAGAGATGGCAGCCTATGTTGAAGACAGAGAAACTTTTGGACAGCTTAAGAACATAAACACACAAGAGCATGTTAATTTTCTCCTGAAGTACAGTAACTGGTTGTGCGTTAAAGGTACCTTTATGTTCTGCCACACAGAGATGGTCAGCAGTCAGCCTCTCCCCATAGCAAACAGTGGGAAAAGGAAAAAGAAAAAAAGAACCAGAGCCACAGATCATGTCCCTGGGAAGTTTGAAGGTTGGTGGCAACTTCTAAGCTTCTTTTAATTGTAATGGTCTGTTTCCCCTCTACTTTTCTTAGTTTTCTTAGCTAAACATTGCTTTTTAGCAAATGTTACAAGTTGACATTTCTGTTTTTCTTTATCCTCCATGTTTCAGTCTTCAGTCTCTTTTTTTTTCTCTTAATGGTGAAATCTGTCCTATTCATAATCTGGTTTGGTGGTGGTTTGGTGGTTTTTTCAATAGGAACAGTGCTGATGTCAAACTGTTTTGATTGAATAGATGTGAGCACAAATACTGTGAAGTATTGTATTGTAGGTAAAATACGGTTCAGTGTCACAAAGCTGACCAGTATAAAACTTCTTAGTGGGCAGGTAGCATTGTAAGGTACATTGCAAATCAAGATGGTAGCAGTCTTCTACGTTTAAACCTTCAAATTTCAATTATATTTAAAATGCTATCTCATCTCTGCAAGTGGATTTTGCGTGGTAGGCATTTTCTGATCAAGGAGTGAAATGTTTCCCACCTGAAAAAATTGATTCTGAGTTTTATGTGAAGGCAGGGAAGGTGGATGAGGTTCTAGCAATTGCTGAGATATAAACTGTTTCTTATATGAACAAGCTTGTCATTTTGATGCTGGAATGGAGTCTACTTTAAATTTTCCTGGAACTTGAAGGAGGGGAAGTGAAAAATGAGGCATAATTAAAGCTGGCACATCTGCTTTAATACTGCATAAATCTATTTTCTGTCTTCATTACCAAGGGAAATTTTTCACTTGCTGTCATATGAGGGATGCTCATCAGATAAATGGCTTGTCTTGATGTTATTCACTGAAATGCTTTGCCTCATATGTCCTTTCTGCTGGATTTCTTTGGCAGACTTGTACAAGCTGACTGCTGAGCTTCTTGGTGAGGGAGCATATGCCAAAGTTCAGGGTGCTGTCAGCCTCCAAAATGGGAAAGAATATGCAGTAAAAGTAAGTATAGAATAAATGCAGTATCACTTCTGTCTATAACATGTCTTCTCCCTCCTAGTATCTCAGTGAAAACCTGTAATAGAGTGGGTAATAACAAAACCTTTTAGAAAATTTTTGATGCTTGAAATGAGCCTGCTGTATAACTGTTGATATGTGTCATCCTAAGTATTGTGTCTCTGGAGTGAACTGGTATATCAGCCGCAGGTAGAATTCACAAACAGTAAATGGCTGTGTGATGGTTAGATTTCAGGGCAAGCGTTCCTCTCGTGTCCTAGTTTGATTGTAGTCCAGCCAGTTTTTATCCCTTCTTATAAAAGAAGAGGACGAGTCATTATCTAGCATGGCCTACCAAATAATGCAAGCTTTTGAGAATGCTGCTCTGAGTTCAGAGAGCATCAGTTGCTGCCATTAGTTCATGTAAAGCTGTCTCTTGTTTTTTGATATAAGGGAATCTTCTGTAACACCATTATATTAACTGTTAGGGTCTATTTACAGATTTGTGGTTATCCTGAGTCTCCCGTTTAATTACAAACACAAATAATAGTAATAAGAAAGCTTTATGCTTGATTCTTTTGCAAAAACCATAGGCACAAAATTTTAAGTTTCTTTAAAAATCTAATTCTATAGATGCTGTAATTTTGTGTGTACTTTCTAGAATTGTTGAATTTGAAAGTCTGGAATAAACAAACCGCTACATTATGAGTTAGATGTGATCAGATAGCAAGTCCCACATAGTACTGGTCAATGGTTGCCCATTCTGTACAAGAGAACTCCGACTGTAAAAATGAGAAACCGATACTGGGTACACATGGTGGTAGTATTTGTGGTAATGTCATGAGCTTTCAGTTCACATAGCAATCATTTGCTCTCAGCCACTGTGGAAAGTCCTTGTCCTCTTTCAGCCTGAGGAGTGTGTGAAGGAAGGTGACTTCTGATGGCAGTACAGAAGGGCTCTGAGTTTGAATGTTTTCTTTAATACATTAGGTCCTGTTATTGGGTCTCCATGAAGTTTGTGCTACGAACCAAACTCTTATTTTGTGGTGAATTTAGTAGTTTTTACTTAAAAGCCATAATGACAAACCTCTTCTTTTTGACTGTTCAATGTCTGATGTGACTCAGATCTATTTTTGTTAGAACTGAAAAGGATATCCTTTTCTCCACATTGCAGAGTTAAAGTGATGCAAGAAAAAGCTTGCAGTAACTGGCCAGTGACTGTGTAACACATGGATTTGGTTCCTTTCTTCTCTTCCTGTCCTCATTTCTCTTGTCCTTTGAATGCCTTCCAGAGCCCTGCTGACACTGTACATAAATGACAGATGAGAAATTAAACAAACAAAGGTGGAGTGTTTGTCTCTGGTGGGCATGCCTGGGATTCAAGCTTTAGGTCAGTTATCTAAGTCCAGAGCCACATGCACAGTTCCTGCAGTGATTTTTCAAATACGAACTCTTAACTCTTTCCACAGATAATTGAAAAAAATGCTGGGCATAGTCGGAGTCGGGTTTTTCGTGAAATAGAAACGCTGTACCAGTGTCAGGGTAACAAGTAAGTACAGACTCTTGTGTGTGTTTGTTTATTTAAAGTATCTTGAACATTTTTTTTTCAAATTTTTAAGTCTCTTATATGTGACTAGGTTAGGAGCTTTGCAGTAGTCTCCTTATAACCAGTTGAAACTTAGACTTGACCTATTCAAAATAAGAATTTCCCCTTCTCTTACCTGTGAAATTTAGGGAAATACTTAGAAATTAAGTCATGTAACTCACTCTGATTTCACCATCAGCAAAAGCTGACCTGATATGAGCTGCTGTTAAAGGAACGGTCTTGCCATGCCTTTCTTTAACATGTGGTTTGTCCTCCTCTTTGTGTCGGCCTTCCTACTTTTGCACTGGAGCTCTTAGATCAGCCACAAGCTAATTTAGTTTTCATTTGGATGTGTGCTGACTTCACATAGCCACAGGATGAAGCAACTTTAAAGCTGCTACTCGTGTCTGAAAAGGAGGGAAAGGCTATGCAGCCAGCATGCTCTGTGATGAGTTTCAGCCAATTCTGAAACTACTCCTTTAGATGTCTCTGATCTAGAATGTATACAACAGCTGTTACCTATACTACAGTTGTGCAGCTTATATTGAGCCTTTTGTTACAAATTTTAGTACAACACTTAAAAATAATTTGAAAACAAACTTGTTTACCAAACTCATGGGCTTAAGTTGTGCTATAGAGAAGCAGATTGTTTCTTTGTTCTGTGTGTGGTTAAGAGCATATGGTCATCCAATACGTAACTGATGAAAACCACAAGCTCTCATGACCACGTGCAGAATTTGGATTTTGTGTGTACTGTAAGTATAGAAAAATCTGACTTACATGTTTGACATTCTCAAGGCAACATGAGGTGTTTGTGTTGTGCTGCAAAGACTGTACTTTAGCTAAACAGGAGTGAGTTAGTCTAGAAATGGTAACTGAGGCACTGGATTTAATGTCATGTTGACAGATGCCTGTCTCTGTTGAGCCCTGTGTGTTCTGCCTTGTGATTTCCAGAGAGAAAGAATGCCAATTTAATTTTTTTGTTCTTGCCTTCAGCACAAATGCAATGTTCTAAATTATTAAATATAACTTATTGCCAGTTATCTTCCTGTCAGTTGAGCAGCAGCAGAACTCTTTCACAGTCCTGTCTGATTTTGGTGTTTGGCCTGTTTCCCCTGCTTAAATTTCAGTGTGAGTTGGAAATGTGGTTTTAATGCCCTAGGCAACCAAAGCAACTTGTTTATTAGAACTTTTATTTTTGATTACTTCTGGCACTTCCTAATTATCCATGCTGAAACTCATCATTGCTTTGTTTACACTCTGTGCCTGTTTCTTCTATTTCTCCCCCCCCTTTTGTTTTTTTTCAAAGGAACATTTTGGAGTTAATAGAATTTTTTGAAGATGACACAAGATACTACCTTGTCTTCGAGAAGCTGCGAGGAGGTACCGTGCAGTAACTGTGCCTTTGTTCATTGAATCATCTTGGTCCTGTTTGTCTCAGTGTTTTAAAGTAGCAAATGAAGAGCTTACTTTAAATGCTTGAGAATTTTAAGGCAAAGTAGTAGAGGAAATAACATACAAAGCTTGAAGTGTGGTTATTCTGGAATATTGATGGGTCTGTTCATACGTTTGCAATCCCTTTCTGTAGTTAAGCAATGGAAGTGTCAGCTCTATTAAAGTGGAAGCTTTGGACTATAGTTAGGTCACTACCTTCAGGCAAGAGGAGGCACACGGTAAGTCAGGTATTATGCATGATCTTGGTACAGCATCTATATACTCTGTTAGCATTTTCCCTTGATGTAGGATTGACTTCGTTTCCTGAAACTCATGGAGCACTGTTGTGAAAAATATCTTCTGCCTTGGGATGCTGTAATTGTGAAGCAGTCTGCTTGTGGCTGTTTGAGGGCCAGTCAAGTGAGCATGTGTGGTCACTGATCTCCAGCATTTAACACTCACCTGAGGAATGAGAAGGCTCCATCAAGCACTTTGTAGGCTTTCTCACATTTGTCTGCATTGAGCATAATTACAGTATCCATTTTGCATGGCTGTACAAAACCATGAGTTAAGTATGGCCTACACTTCAAAGAAAAACTGAGTTTCTGAAGGAGTATACTTCTGTCCATAGAAACATCATCTATTGTCACAGGTCAAGAAGGTCTTCAGTAACAAACCACATGTGCAAGAAATGCAAATTCTTTCAGTATAGATGCAGAACTTTTTAAAAAGACAAGAACGTGGGTTTTTTCTTGAATAAAAGCTTTTGCTTACCTTCCCTTAAAATTACTGCATCAATTCATTGTGGTTTCCTCTAACACTGTTCCTCTTAGTGCACAGACTTCTCTGACAAATTAGCTGTAATAGGGCTCAATTGAGATGAATATGCATTTGTTTATTTTCCCATCTCCACATTCTTCTGTTAGTTAACCCTCTTCTTTGACTGTGAGACTGTGGTTGTCAGTGTACCTGCATGACTGCTGGCAGGGTAATAATGCTACACCTTCTTCCCTCTCTTAACTGCTGTTTTTACAGTGGTCAGCTAGGGCTGAGGCTAGTTTTCTCTTTGAAAAATTTCAGCATTTGAAGTGTTAGGTATGTGGGTTTGAAGAAACAAATAATGGGAATTAGGAGTCAGACCAGCTTCTGATGCACTACGGATTCTGATCTAAGTGGTGTGGCTGGCAAGAATGAGAACATTAATCTTCAGTGCAAGCCTTACTTTAATAACCAGTCTGAGACCAATGTTGCCTACAATGTTGGGGCATAACTTGGGCTTTCGATTTTCAGCTTTGCTTTCCTGTAGCTGTGGTGACTGAAGGAGCTCTGTTCCCGTTTTTGGGTGTGTTCAGTTCACCATGATATGCAGAAACCATTTAATATCCTTGCTTGGTAGTATTTTATAAGTGAAAGTGTTAAAATCCAGCTTATTATACTGAACTTGTATGATTTAAGAGACCTTTCCTCCTTTTTTGTGTGTGTTTGTTTTTTTTCTCTGAAATGCATTTTGGGAGGTACCATATGATGCTTTCTCTCTGAATACTGAAGAAGTGGTAACAACTGTGGCAGGAGTGCCCTGCTAGTCTTTCTGTTTGTGGGATTCCTCTACGTGGGCTGAGTAGAGGATGTTTTTGTTGATATACTTCTTATCTGAAAGAGTCTGGAACATCAGCTGTATTCAGAAGCGTAATTGAAATAAACCTGCTGAGTTAAATGAGCACTTCAGGTGACTCAGTATTGTTTCCTGCAAAGTCTGGGGTATTTTCCACAGGGATGGAAACATTTCAGAACTGTTACTACTTTCTAAAGGTGTAAAGAACAGCTATACCAGGAAAACACTTTGAACTCTGTGCGCTTAAGAAATCTGTAGCAAACTAGAAAGTGATGTTTTTGACAAGGGAAACCGCCTGTATTTGAAATCTGATAACCTGATCCAAAGTGGCCTTCCTCCACCCATCTGAAACAGTATATCTCTGCATATCTGAAGAGTCTTTTGTCATATCAAAGCGTATCCAAAGAGTCTTTTGTCCGTCTTTCTTCCTTTTGACTGTCTCTCCTGTTTCCTCTCTGAATCCTCACTGTGGAGGAGTGGCGGCAGCGGCAAAGATGGTATAAGAACAGGAATTACTGCAATAGACAATGGGAGATTTCCTTCAACATCTGGAACTGAAGAATAAAAATGAAACCACCTGAGATACAAAATGTTTACTGTATTGGGGGCTAATATCCAAATGGCAGTTACTTCTTGAATTTCTCTGCCTGATTGCTTTTATAAATATATCCGAGTAAGAAAATGTGAGACAGTATTAAGGCTTAGTGGGCTTGGATCTCTATGGACTGCATTTAATTGGTTTTTTTAAAGACATATTTAATCTTTTGAGAAGATTGATGGAATTCACTTGAAGATGGGGAATCAAACCTCCTTTTATCCTTTGTTAAAGGGTTGCCAGTGGAGCTCTGCCTGCAAGCTAGCAGTCCTTCAGTATGCTCGTATTTGAGAGGTCTTTTATGAGATTTTCTGTCCCTGGACGAATTTTGCCTTAAGTCAGTCTATGAGCCTTATCTTGGTGTCAGTGGGAACTTTAATATGTATTTAAAGGTAGAATGTCCTTTTATTTTGATGATGTTGAGACAAAAAAAAAGTGTATACTTTCAATGCAGGATTTCAGTTGTCGCATTACATGAAATGAGGAGAGTTAGTTTGAGCATGGCCACCTGTGACCTGGGGGAGGGTGAGTTTTGCTGAAGTGCTCTGGACATCCTTAGCTGATGTTTGAGTTTTACTAGTACTGTTAGTAAGTCTCTACTGTTCAGCGTGTGGGAAACAGACCAGTTATGTGCTGGGGCAGTAAGAAGTGATTGCATGTCATGCTGTGCTTAAACTAGAGGGCTGCAGTGTTTGAAAATTATGTTCTAGCATGCTTAAGTATTGAAGCTACTCAGCTGTACCTCTTTCTTCTTAGTCACTCCCCTGTTTGGTCCAGGGAAGTTGCCTGCAGTGAAAGACTGTTATAAAATACAAGAAATGAGGTTATGGATTCATGGTACTTGATGCTAGCTCATCGTTATTTTCTGAGGCTCTTTTTATATGAAAACACGGGATTGTGACACTTCAGTTTCTGCCATGTAAGCATACTAGGACAGAGTGTTATTTGCAACTAACTTTTCTAAATCAGTTCTGGCCCTGTTCACACTGAGATCAGTTTTCACTTTATGGCAGACTAGTAGTGGCTATTGCATTTTTATCCTTGTCTTGACAAAGCCTTTTCTCAGTCCAGGCGGCATTCATACTAAGGTTTTTTCCCTTTTACCTGTTACTCTGATAGGTTCAATCCTGGCTCATATACAAAAGCGGAAGCACTTCAATGAACGAGAAGCTAGCAAAGTGGTGAGAGATATTGCCTCTGCTCTGGATTTTCTTCATACAAAAGGTAAGAGAAGGCTGTCTCCATCTTTACTAGCTGATATTGTACACTTAGGTTATGGAGCACGTTTTATCTGTAAGTAGTCAGCCTTTCCTAGCATTTCTGTTTACAAGCAATGCCAGATCACTTATGCTGTTTTCCTCTATAATATTATTTTCATAAAGTGGTAGTTTAAGTAATCAGCTGTGTTAAGATGGTATAGCCTTTTGAAGAAGAAAAGTTAAGTCAGCATTCAGGGAGAATTAACATTAGGGTTGAATCCGTTTTACTTGTTCTTGTTACCTAACCCACCATGTAAAGTTTACCCAAAAGGGAGCTGATATTCTATTTAATTTCCTTCTCTTTCAGGTCTACAGAGATGCTTTTCTGTATTTACCTATAATTTTTACTGGTTACAAGACCTCTTTGTAGTAGCTTTTGGTCTCCACATTTAGACCCCCGCTCTTGGGTTGAGAGTCCTGAAAGTGAACCATGGTTCTTGTTTGAAGGTGTCCTCATTTCATTTGGGATTTGCTCAGATTTAAAACCAGTTCTGTCTGTAGAGAGTCCTTTTATGTTAAATTGTTTTCCTGCTGGAGTACTTTTGTTTCATTTCAAAATATTTGTGTGCCTTATGGCCACCCCAGAGTATATGTTCATGTTGAATGTCATAGATACCTTTAAAATCTTTCCTATGTCGTGATTATCTGTTCTTGCATAGGATTAAGCAACTTCAATTAATGTTACAGTGACTACCTCTGAATAGAATGGCATGTAATTGGAGGCTATGTTTATTGGTTATTTATTTTGATAGATTTTTCTCTCAATTTATTTTGCCATTCTGATTAGCCAGGTAGATCTCAGCAGATCTATGTTTTCTGTCTAAGTTGTTTAGTACTGGCCTCAGTTCAATAAATGTTTAATTGTAGGCTTTACTTGTAGGTCACAGGACTGCTTATGTGCTTGAGTTGGGATCGCAGCATTGGTACCTCAATAGGTTGAACCCATTAAAAAGAAGAGTGTAGCAATGCATGGGGAATAAAGAAAGTGGTAAACCTGAGGAATACGGATCTTGTCACATATTGCGACTATGTTAAGAGAAGTTAACTTGAATCTGGAAACAAACTTAGTTTGGATGAAAATTTTTGGTACTCTTCGTAGCCTGTCTATGTAATAACTCAACTTTAAACCTGCAGAGAATGCACCTGTGTTTAGAAGTCTTTGACTTTGAGAGACAGGGCAAATAAGGAACAGGAAACTTAGGCTGAACATGTGGATAAATATTTATTTGATGTGTTAGGGCTGGGGTAGGTTGCTTAACAGCTGAAGTCTATGAACACTCTTCAAGGAAGTTTAACATCGACTCAGCTAATGTCTTTCTGTAGTTATCTCTCAGCTTTTAGTTTTAATTCTCTTTTCCCCAAACAAGAGGGGAGTGATTCATTAAAGTGACTTTAGAGCAGCAATTCACTTTCTTTCTTGTTGTTTGCTGTGAATTGGTACAGTGGGGACATGACTTGCAAAACAGCTACAACTACATCCCCTTTGATTTTATTGTTCTCTTTATGGTTCTTCTGTGTGACATTAAAATAATTAGTAAGTAGCATACAGAACACTAAAGTAAACAGGAAATTAAAGCAGTTTTATTGCACAGCTTAATGGTGAAGTGCTATAGCTAGATGCTTTAAAGAAAAATTTCAAAGAGGACAACTAATTCTTTTGCCAGGAGTAGTTTAAAACTCAGCTGGATGATAATACTGCCTTACACGCACTTGGGATATGCATGTTTTATTGCTAATAATCCACTGGAGGAGTGTTTGAAGGCAGTTGTTTTCTTAGTGCTATGTGCAAAATAAAATGTTATATAATCAGACACTTTAATTCAGACTATAACACAGAAAAGCGCTGTTGGGTTTCAACTTGCAAACCAGGCCAACTGTTGGCAATTTTGTCAACCTTGTTGTAAATGTCAGCATGGGTCATCTTGATGGATTCATTATGCCATTTTCCATGCATAAGCAACATGAACTGCATCATTATGAAAGTTCTGATTCCTTTAGATTGGTGCTATGCTGTTAATGTTTAAGTCATGTCTGATGGAGTGTGCTGAAGAAAAGACATTAGAAATTCCCTTACCGAGAATTTGGTGGGATATTTTCTTGTACTCTGAAGTAATATCAAGTGTGCTTGGAGTGTAATTTTTTTTAAGCAAGGCTAGAGTGCAATTAAATTACAACCAAGTTGCTCATTTGATTTGATTTTTTGCTTCTTATTTTCTGCCTTCCCCTTAAGTTTGGTCATATTAAATGAAGGACTTCCAGAAATTGTGTGTTTAGACATTTGAACCACTTTGACAATGCGGAACCACCTTTGCATGTGAATTGCATGGATAGGTAGCTTTGTGCTTCCCTGTTCGATTAGCCCATTCCAATAGCAGTTGAATGAATGAAGAAGCCCTTTGGTTATTCTCCTTCAGCTTTTCTTCTGCACCTCCATCCAAACCCTTTAATTTTTCTTTTACCTCAGAAATAAGTATGCACCTCACTGTTAAAAGGGTGATATTTTCACTTGGAAACTTAGGTTTTTTTGGGGGAGAGTGCCTCAGGTATTGTCCGTGCTTGTAGGAGTTCAGCAAACCACCAGTTGATCCATCTGAAAAGAACCTTACTGTAGAAGGCACAGAAATCTTTTGACTAAACTGTGTACACAGACTTTCCTACAAGTCAGTCATCTCAATAAGCTGGTTTTAATTAATGTGATTAATTTGGGCTGAGCCAAGAAGTTGCAGTGTTAGCAGGCTCTTACTTGCTTGACTGATTCTTGTGTACATTTAAGGATGATAAAGGTATAGCAGGATGCAACAGTGAATTTTAACAAATACACTTTGCAATTAAATTATTCGCAGTATTGCTAAGGGGGGGATTGTGTAGCAAACTCAGGTCTAGAATATTTCCCAGGCCACCTTCTAATAAAGAGAACTAATGAGAAATAAAACAGGACAGTATCTTCTCTGATGAACATTGTACTCTTGTTTAGGTATTGCTCACAGGGATCTGAAGCCTGAAAACATCCTGTGCGAATCGCCAGAAAAGGTGCTACTCTGGTTTCTTAACCTTCTGAAGTATATTTTTTAACTTGGATTCCAAAAACAATCCTCATGTGCTGTCTCTTCTCTTCTTGAAAACTTTTGAACCCATTAGTGGACTTCAGCTGAATTTAACAGAACTGAGGTCTGAAAGAGACTAGATTCTTCTTTGACCTGTAAAAATATGAGCATCTGGCTAAGAGATAAAAAGCCAACTGTTCTTAGAGAGGGCATGGCAACTACAACTTAGCACCTCATCTGTTCTGGGGCAGTACCCAGATGGACAAGCAACATTTACAGGCCAGCTGGTCCCGTTCCCAAACTGCCCAAACGTGTACTGGCACTTGCCTAGCCAAATAAAAAAAATAATGTAATAGGCGACATGGGAGCAACTGGGGCAAAGGAGGCAAATGCAAGGAGTGGATTATAGCTGTAAGACTGGGTTTCACTAGTCCTGCTGCTAGAACAGCTTGTATTCTGTCCTGGGGTTTTCCACGTGGTGCTGTATTCATATATACAGCGTTAATCCCAGTCGTCCGAACCTTTTACTGTTTGGTCATTGTTTTTTAGGTGTCACCAGTAAAAATATGTGACTTTGATCTTGGTAGTGGGGTGAAGCTGAACAGTGCATGTACTCCAATAACTACTCCCGAATTAACGACACCGGTAAGAGACCTACTGTGGCTTAGTGCCACAATTTTACCTGTCTCCAGAGGAGAGCTTCCAGAGGGCTTACTGCAACTACACCGAGTGGTGGATAGTTCATTTAAAGTGAGTCTATGTGTGATAGTGTCTTGGTTTCCCAGTCATAGAACAAATACACAACAGCACAGGAGCTCACGGTGTTAATTCTGCTGTTGACCTGAAAGTAACACATTGATCCTATTCCTCTCTTACTCCATCATATGGGGAAGTTTTTCCTGGAGGTTTTTTGTGTGCTTACGGACTGACTTTAAACCTTAGGTTTATGTTCATTTCCTCATGTTTCAGTTCTGTAGCTAAGACCCGTGAACTAAGGGGAATGCAAGCTCTGTAATCAGTGTGTGGCTTTATAATACACATTAGTTTGAAAAACTACAGTGCTATGCTTTTGGCACTACTGTGAAAGAAAAAAATCTGACTGTCTTATAGGAGTCTGTTATAGAAATCACCTCCCATGATATACTTTTTTACTTTCTGAAAAACCTGATAACTAATGGATAAGATTTAAAAACCTGAAATATGTAAATTAATATTTTGACCCTCTATAAAGAATCATAGATTCATATGGAACAGCTTACGTTTCTGTTAAAGAACAGTAGGAACTTTTTGTCCTTCTATTAGGTCTCTGTAGTCCTTACACCTGAAATGTGTTAGTTTTTTCCTGTGCAGTACACTCACAAAGTGTTTCAAAGTTCTGGGAAATTCCATTTAACCTTTGAGGGATGCAACAGTTGTGATTTGGCTTAACAAAATGAGACCTGTAGTGAAAGCCAGCAGTAAACTTCAGTAGCCCTTGATGCCTGATTCTGCTTTTAGACCAAGCCACCTACTATAAAGAGGGGAGAATGATAAACCTGAATCTTGTTTTGATTTGACCCTCCCTTTGAAAACTTGCTTGAATTTGGTTTCCTAGTGTGGGTCTGCAGAATACATGGCACCCGAAGTGGTTGAAGTCTTCACAGAGGAGGCCACGTTCTACGATAAGCGGTGTGATCTTTGGAGCCTGGGAGTGATTTTGTACATCATGCTCAGTGGTTACCCCCCTTTTGTGGGCAACTGTGGCACGGACTGTGGCTGGGACAGAGGAGAAGTCTGCAGAGTTTGCCAGGTGAATGTGCATGTCCTGGGCCTATGTCGGAGAGTGTAGTTTGCCCCATGGACTTACGGTGTAAGACTTGCTATAATGCCGGCAGCAAAGAGCTCTGTCTGTAACCCAGCCAGTTATCTGGAAGTATAAGATGTCACCGGGAAGTGAGGGTGGTAATATAAAAGTCGAGTGATGATACCTCTTTTTAAAGTAAGGTTTGGCAACTGCCTCTTCCTCTCCCCCGCCCTGCAATCCTCCTGTATTCTGTAATTCTTTATCTGGTTTATGGTAGTTACCACAATTCCTCAGATAAAAGTTGAGCCCCAGGAGAGTCTCCATGCAGGGCCTGAATTTATTCCTTCTAAAAACTGAGTACTTTGGCTGCACTGTTACAGGCAGTAGGGGGGAAGGTATTTTCAGCAGACAATATATCATGTCCATCTTAGGATGCACTGAATCACTCTGTGGAGCTGCCTGTCACTCTCCATTGACTCCATAAGGAGACTGGATGGTTTCAGTTGTCACCTACCACATTAGGTGGATAGAATTATTTAAATTATTTAATTATTTAAATTAAAGCAGTTTTTCTTTACTAGAACAAGCTTTTTGAGAGCATTCAGGAAGGCAAGTATGAATTTCCTGACAAGGACTGGTCACATATATCCTCTGAGGCCAAAGATCTCATCTCAAAGTTGCTGGTTTGTGACGCCAAAGAACGACTTAGTGCTGCTCAAGTTTTGCAACATTCATGGGTTCAAGGA